TTTGATAAACTCTTTGACCTTGAACCCATCGTTTACTATCAACTTGTTCATATTTTCTATTCTAATGCCGTTTGTGTTAAAGACCAAACTGAAACCGAAACCATAGGAATTCGTTCCTACCTTCTAGGACAATTCTTATATATTGACTCGGATTACATAGCCAATACATTCGGATTAGATAATGAAGGGATTTCAAATGAAAAACAAGTTTTAGGATCTCGTTATAAAAGAAGGGATAGTGCAAGTGTCCTAGACCTTCATGAACGTTTTCTTCATCTAATGATTTCTTGGTGGTTTCGACCATCTGGAGGTCGTTATTCTACTCTTAGAGCCTTAGATCTTTGGTGGTTACATTGTTTCGAAAACAATATTAAAATCAACCTACCTCAGATTATTTTTGCTGAAATTGTTGAAACCGTAAATCTTGTTCCTAATAAAAAAACTTTGTTCATCTCTTGTTTACGGTTGTATTTTGAGTAATCTGTTTTCCAAAGCTGGGCTTAGAGTCGATCTAGATGCTATTTTTCCTCTTAAGAAACAAATTAACCTTCTTTCCTTAACGAGAGCGGGATGGATTAAGGATAAGGAAACCGGGGAATGGGTTCGAACTTCTGCAACTACTCCGGGAGCTAGTTCTTCACAAGCTCCACCCGAAGCTGACGAAGATCTCGAGCTTGAGCAACTAATGCGAGACATCGATGAAGTTGAAGCTGAACCTGAGCAGGCCAAGGAGCAGCCCGAAGAGCAAGCATAACAATCGACTCAAATGCCTCCATATTTTCAATCTTTTATGGAGACATTTGATTATCGATATGCGACCATGGATTCGCGCTTTATTTCTATAGAGTCCTATTTATCCACAATGGGAGCTCAACAATTAGAAATTCTTCGGGAAATGCGTGCAAATAATGAAGCAACCAACACACGTATTAATGACCTCACTAACTAAATGGCCGCTATGCGAGCTCGTTTTCCTCCTCCTAATCCGGATATATGATTAAATGTTTTACTTTGTTTTCCAAACTTATTGTTTTAACATTTTGAATATTTTGGGATGTTTGAATTTGAGGATTGTGAATTTGTTTGGATTTATGGATGGTTTGAACTTATATGTTTGGTGTGATTTGTTTATTATTGCATCATTTACATCATTATTAGCAATATGACCAATTTTGCCATATCACATTATTTATGAATATTGATTACGGAACTAATGGCTAACGTTTCTCTTAATTGTGATCTTAGCAGCTTATGCATACATATACCTAATCACTTGGCTTAATATTTTTCACGTTTATTTGAATCTTTTTGATTTAACAAAAAGGGGGAGAAGTTTTTAAGTGTGTTTTTAAAATGATAAATGGGAGAAGTGTTAAAGTAAGGGGGAGTAATTTCAAAACTTGATTTCAAAATCTTAAAATTACTAAAATGTTTTGTTATATCAAAAAGGGAGAGATTGTTGAAAACATTTTGATATTTCGATATAACAAATTAAGTTAAATGAATTTTAAGATTTTCCAAAATGATTTTCTAAGTATATTCGATATAATTATTTGAATATCAAAACATTACTCAAAATATTTCAAAAATCATTTTTAATCCTTACTTAAGTGTAAAATTAAGTTTTAATCTTAAAACAATTTCAAAATAATCTTTCAAAGTATTTCGAACTATTTCAAAGCCAAAAATTCCAGATTGCTCAGAGGGAACCGATTCCCCCCCCCAAGGGGGTACCGATTCCCCCCTGAATGGTTTGGCTCCGAGATTTCCAGAATGCTCGGAGGGAACCGATTCCCCCATAGGGGGTACCGATTCCCCCCCTGTTCAACGGTCGAAATATTTGAATTTTACACTTAGGGAACCGATTCCCCATAGGGGGTACCGATTCCCCCCACGCTCCAAACTGTTTTATTAATTGTTTTCACACTAAAACAGCTATATGATCTTCACTAATCATCCCCAACGTTTAGAAGAGATTCAAGGTGTATTTAAACAAGTTCTGAAGCCCTTGATCAACAAGAAATCATAGAGAAACAAGAGAGAAAGCATCAAACACCAAGTTTGTGCAAATCAAGCCAATTTTCCTTTCAATATTCATTTTGCTTTCAAGAACACCATTTGTGCTCATTTGTAATTATCTTTGAGTGTTCTTTTCTTGTTCTAGAATTGTGCAAACATCTTACCTTGTGAGGTTTTCTTGTAAGTTTGCAAATTTGTAATCTTCTCTTTGGGAAAAAGAGTGTTCTCAAGAGTTGGGGTATACTCTTGAGGGATTTTGTAAGGTTATCTCTTTGGCCTCAAAAGAAAGAACAAATTAGTGAATTTGTTGGAAAATCCTTAGTGTGGATAGCTAAGGTAGTGGACGTAGACTTTGTTTGAGAAAGTCGAACCACTGTAAATCGCTGTGCAATTACTTTCAATTTTTCTGCAAAAGCTTCCACGAAATTTTTAATTGCCAATTCACCCCCCTCTTGGCCGATTCCGTCGATCGATTAACTCAACAAACATCCAGAATACTCATAAAACACTTGAAAACGAAAATCACACCAATTATCCAACATGTTCTTAAGTCACTTCTATCACTTCTAACTTCTTAATTAGACCCTTGACAAGTCAAATATGGCTTAAAATCCATTTTTAATTTCTTCCTTAAAAATTCACTTTAACACCCCTTTTATTCAATATCTCATAATTTATAAATCATTTAGCTTCAACTTCTTTTTTAGCTTTATTAAGCTTTCTTAACATTCCAAGAATCAAAATCAACTTTAAAATAAAAGGAATAATCAATAAGAAGCATACTCATCTTATGCAAGAACTCACGGTGGAAGAAGAAGAAGAAGATAGCTGAACCCAAACTCTCCAAATTTTTCTTTCTCTTTACCTCCTAAACCCCCACATGTATATATATATATATATATATATATATATATATATATATATATATATATATCCATTAATATAATTTTTAATTATATTCTTATCAAATGATCGTTATACCCTTTCTACTTTCCAACTTTTCTTTTAAATCCAAAACCAATATACTTCAATTAAGTCCTTGAACTTTTAAATTTTTTGAAATTGATCATAAAGTTTCAAAAACTTACATTTTAGTCACTAGTATGGTTTTTGGGATTTTACAGTGAAAGTGAGTCATCTGAGAGGGGCATATCAGGTTATGGTCCTCAACTTGCAATATTTCCTTCAACATAATATTATGTAAATGTTGAAAATATTAGAACTGTTATTAAAGGTAACTACTGTGACAATGGAAGTGACTCAAACTCGGAAAAAAATTAGTGCAGAGAACTTTATTGATTCAAAGGTGATGAAACTAAACAACAACCTTCATCATTCACAGGAATGGAGTTAACGTGCCACGTCAGTTTTAGAAGAAGAAGAAAGAAGGAAGAATGAAGAAAGAATGCAGAAGAAGAAGAAGACCAGGGGGTGTTGTTTTAACGGAGTTAACGTGCCACATCAACAAAAACTGACGGGAGGAAACGGTAGGGACCATTTTAAAAATGAACTAAAAGTTCAATGATCGTATGGTAAGTTTCAAAAGTTTAGTGACCAAAATGCAAGCGTCCTAAAAGTTAGGGGACTATTATATACTTTACCCTTATTTTATTATTAGATTGGCAGCTCAAGTAAAAGAGAGAACAAAACTCTCTGATTTTCTTTCTTTTTATTTTAACAAGAGAAGAAAATACCTTTGAATCTAGAAGGATTTGAATTCGATTCAAACTAGTTATGGATTCGACGAAAGGTAGATCATTTCCCCCTTTTTTTTTACTTGGCTTCTCCTCTTTTTTTTTTTTTGTTCTCTCCCTCTCTTTTTTTATTTCATTTTTCATTGTTGCTCTCCTTTCAATTTTGGTTTATATCTTCTCTTCTTTTTATTGGTGTGAATGTTCGAATGATTCTCTCCCTCCTATGATTTTTTCTTCTGAAATCGCTCCTTTTCCCCCTAAAAATGGCTCCTTGATGATTTTAAAATAGTGAGGGTTTGGTAGAACTATAATGATAGGGACAGAGGGGTATAGCTCCGAGAAATCTGGGGATTAATTTTGGGAGTTGTTTGATTTGTTTTTATTTTTTTTCTTTTTTTTTCTTTTTTTCTTTTTTGTTCTTACGAGATTTGATCGAATTTGTTGACGGTGAAGGTTGACTCATGGCGTGAGCGACGATGGACGAGGAGTCGACTGGAGGTGGTGGTACAGTTATCTCTCTAGGGTTTCAAAAAACTCTAAAATATTTGAGTTAGGGTTTATATGTTGGGCCAATTGGGTTTGCTTTGTGGGCTTCATGTCTTGGGCTTTGTAATTGGGCCTTTGTGGTAACCTTTGTAATCTGTGCATGTAGAAAAATAATATATATTTTTAATATTTAATATATATAATAATAATAAATGAAAATGAAAATAATTAAAATCCAGACAAAAACGAGTGTAACACATATAATAAATAAATAAATAAATAATATTTTTATTTTCACATAATTTTCAAAATATAAAGCCCAAAATTTTAAAATCTTTAACATATCACAAGCCAAGTTGAGTTGAGTCTGGTTACCTCTAATAATAACTAATAATTTTCTCCCCCTAATAAATAGATTTTGTAATTGAGTGATTAGCAAGAATAAACTTTCAAGCAAGGAAAAAAAACATCGTATTATGGTAAATAATTAGTACAATCTTCACCAACAACCAGTTGGTCTAGTGGGACGAAACACTAGGTCTCTTAACCAAGGTCAGGGATTCAAATACTCACGTTTATAGAACAAACTATATTGGGAGGGTTTCCCTCGCCTCTGCAGTATCCGATCTGGATTAATCGGTAATAGATCGGATACCAATGTGATTAATTCAAAAAATTAGTACAATCTTTTTATTCATTGATTGGAAAATCAAGAAATATTACAACATCAAATATATATTTCATATACGAAGAACATAGCAGTATATATCGGAACAGAAAACCTCGTCAGATCAGTTAAACTCAGTTCTTCTTCAACAGCAGGGCTCTGAGCTCAACGACGTCGATCTCGTTGCCACAATTCTCGGGTCTATAACATCCGGTGACCGGGTCGGGCACCCATGCAACCTTCTCTTTACCAGCTCCCACTATCTCTTCCCTCGCTTGCTTCACCACCACCGCAGCTCCTCTCGAAACAACTACTCCTTGCGCCGCCGCCGCCGCATATCCTCGTCTGAACAAGAAAACAAAACCCAACATCATTAAAACAAAAAACGAGCCATAGAACGAGAAATGAAAAGAAATTTTTGGGTACCTGGAGATGGCGTTAGAGATTCCATCGACAACGAAAGGGGAGAAAAGCTTAGCGTTTGAGAAAGATGGAGCCATTTCTTTTCTTTATTTTAGAAGAACAAACTCAGTGCTAAGCCTTCAACTTGGTTATGGAGTGTTCGAAAGAGGGACTCTCGATGAGTTTATATAGAGTGACTGAGTAGTGACGGCGGCGAGAGGAAACGATAAAGTTGAACACGAATCCGTCAACACAAGTAGGAGTGAGTGTTCACCAATCGAGTAAGTATAAAATTTTGCGTAAAATACACAAATAGTCCCTCAAATATAAGATACTATTTTATGAAATGATCACCCGACTATAGTGCATTGGTTTATTGAATCTTCAACTATTAAAAGTTACAAAACGGTCATCCGACTATTAATATGTTCCAAACTCATCATTTTTTCATTAAAAGATTAACGGTAGTTTTGAGTTTGACGTTCATATGTTTGACTGGGAAATTATAGTCGTTTGAGATTTTGATATTAGAGTTTATCATATCGCAATCAATAGATTAACTTTTATCTTAGATTCTTGTCAATCTTTTAATAGGAAATGATGAGTTCATAATATATGAATAGTTGAATGACCTTTTTATAACTTTTAATATTCGATGGACTCAACAAAGCAATGTATTATAATTGGAGAATCATTTCATAACTTATAATAATTGATGTTCACAACAAAGCAGTACCATATAATTAAGGGACTATTTGTGTCTAAAATTTTTAAGTTTATTGAGTTGATGTGTTTTATTTTATAATTTAGATTTTATTTGAAACTTATTTAAGTCAAATTAAGTTTTTATTTTTTAGGGTAAATTACATTGTTCCTCACTGAACTTTACTCTCTCTCCTATTTTCCTCACCAAACTTTCAATTTGCTCACTGAACTTTACATATTGAATCATTTTGCTCACTTTGTCGTTAAATAGTTAACAACGTTATGACGTGTCACAAACATCAAAACGACTTCGTTTTGAAAAACTCAAATATACAGCAAAACGACGTCATTTTGAATCCAATATTGAAAGTACGGTGAGTAAAATAGGAAAGAGAGTAAAGTTCAATGAGGAATTGTGTAATTTACCCTTTTTTCTTGTCATCTTCATTTTCTCTCTGCCGTCCACCACGTCATTTTCATTTCTGCCACCGTCCACCATCATTGAGGGTGGTCGTTCGGTCTCAAATTTCATGGGTCGGTTTGTCTCGACCCCTAAGTCTGAATCTGGTGGTTGTTTCACCGGAAAATATCTCAAAACTAGTGAATTTGGATTGAAATGTTTCGAATTCCTCACTTTCAATCTCAAATTCGTGGACTTTGAAGCAAGTTCCGATAAAATGGAGGTCGAATTCGAACTCAAGGTGTCGAGGTGAAGTGACCTGTGAAATTTGAGACCGAACGGCTACCATCTACGGCAGTCGATAGTGGCCAACAGTGGCATCCGACCAGCTTCTATTTTTATTTAATATTTTTAATTATTTTATATTAAAAAATATTTTTTTTAAAATGCCACATCATCTAGACATTAGAGAGAAAACGGGGGAGTGAGCAATATGATTCAATCCGTAAGTTCAATGAGCAAATTGAGCAAATTTAAAGTTAGGCGAGAAAAATATGAGATAGAGTATAGTTCAATGAGAATGGTGTAATTTACCTTTTTTCTAAAAGTAGTTTGGGATAATTATAACGTACTATTTATTTAGAATTTTTCTTAATCAATAATAACGCAAATACACCTACAAACGTAATTGCACATTCACTTTAATTATTGAGGTCACTTGATGGGTTCAATCGAATCAAGTTGTTCAAGTTTATATTTAAGTTTAGTTGTAAATATTTATAATATTATAATATTAATTGATTCAATTTTGAACAACTTTTTATAATCATATATCATATACATATTATTATTATTATTATTATATATTCTTATATGATAAAGAGTTGAGGGATTCGACTTGAACTTTAAAATTAATACAATAATCATAAAAAATTTGAATTATTCGAGTTATATTTTATAACTCTACAAAAATTTAAATTTTTCTATTCAAGATTAATTTATAAAATTACGAGTTAAATCAAATATTTTAACGTCGGTTAAAGTAACATAGTTGAAACGAGTTTCTCACCCATACACTGATACACACAGAGCAACAGACCCCTGTTGCGTCGACACGTGGATTTTAGAAATTGGAGAAGCTTTTGGTCTTAAATGGGTTGAGTTTAAAAGAAGAAATGTCGGGGGTGATCCTCCTAAGTTGACGAATTCTTGACCGTTGGATTTGGGGATGGTGATATCGCCCCCGTTCACGAGCGAAAGAGAGTCATTAGTTATAACGAGGCGGCGTTTCTTCGTGAGTAAATTGTAATCTACACGTGGGTTTGACAAATAATTCATAAATAAAATGTTATTTTTAGGTTAAATAATTATTAATATCTATGTATAAATAAAAGGATTTGCATCTGTTGGAGATAACCATATGTTATAAGTTGATTATATGTGATTATTTTTTTTTAGTTTGAGCAGTATAATTAATAATCTTTAAAGAAAATAATATGATGAGTGCATGATCATCATCTGTTCGCAGAAAAAAAGAATTCTAGAGAGTTTCCTTTCAAGTCTTGTAAGGGAGACTTATTTAATAGTTTTTAGCATTGATGTTACACTTAAGTCATAATAATTATACGTAAGTCATCTGATCATATAAATATATTATTAAATAGATTTAACATTTACAGATTACATGAATTTTCAAAAGTCATATTAAGAGAATGATTATTGTTTGGAGGATATTAAATTTTAAAAAGAAATAGTAAATCGAATGATATAGAGCTCCCATGGTGCGGATATGGTATAATAATATGTAATTTTTTTTTATAGAAATTCGTTAATTTTATTAAAAGTAAAAAATATTTAGAATTGTGAAGATTTAGAAGTATAACTGTAGGTCTAAATTAAATTATAATTATGATATTTTTATATAATCATTGACATAAAAGCTAGACACGTAGATCACACAAAGGCCAAAGAATGAAAATCTTAAAAAATCTAATCAAAATATTATAACAAAATAAAGATTTGAACAAGTCTTACTGCATCGGCAAACGAACTACAAAAAGGGATGAAGCTATTGAAAGACCACCGACAAATTATAAATCAGAGTCAAACGATGTAAGAAAACTATCAACAAACGTAAAACGCGTATCTAAAGCAATCTGACGGTTCAAAGCACGAAAGATTAACATGATAACAAATAAGTGTCATCTTGATCAATAATAGCGATGTTAAATCCTACCCTGAAAAATATAAACAAAAATCATGGTAAAAAAAATGAAAATTGCCAAAAAAAAACAGAGATAAACGCGTCAAAAAGACAGAGATAAACATGTCATAAAAATATAATTATTCATAAACAAACTAAAAAAATACAACTTACGGTCGACAATCAATGTCAAAACTTGTGTCACCGTCGGTTAAACAAAACCAAAGAATAAAAATTGATTTGATATGTAAAAAATAACACGAATTGCAAAAGAAAAAAAAAAGAGAAAAGAAGAGACGGAGCGACTAGGGTTTTTCTTTTTATAAAGAATAACGATACTTTAATATGTAATTTTATTAGTTGTGCATTTAAATCTTAAATGATATTTTTAGCTGTTTTATTCAACAATTTATGTAAATATATCTATAAAACCTTATATAATAATGAATTATAGAAAAACATCTTGATCATTTCACATTTAACTTAAGAGATCTAATTAATTAATGATATCAATTTAATTCTATATATTATTTTTTTAGGATACTAATATAACTATAAGATAACAAGTGTCAAATTTTAAATATAAATAAATTTAAACACGTATATAAATAAAATTATTTGAACCAAATCATTCGGAGACAGCAATATTTTCTTTATCATTATAATTGTACCTTAAGTTCAAATTATTCACATTATATATTATATAAATATTGAAATACTTAATTATATAAATTATGTTCATATCGGTTATATATATATATATATATCGTGCTTTATAATCGCGCCCATAGTGCTTTTGTATTTAGATAAATTTCAGGGTAAATTTTCATTTAGTATCTAAACTATCAATTTTGATTCGTTTTAGTACATAAACTTTTAATTTTTTCCAAACTATACCTAAAGTTTAGTTTTTGTTCCATTTTAGTATTCAGTTCAAAATTTAACGTTAAGTTTTGAAAAAATTGAAAGTATAAGTACTAAAATGGACCAAAACTGATAGTTTATGTAATAAATGCATTTAGTTTTTAAAGACGAGGTACTAAAATGAAATGGAAACTAAAACATAAGGTATGGTTTTGAAATTTTAGGTACTAAATGTGTAGTTTACCCTAAATTTTATGTTAATAATTTATTTTATTTTCTATTTATATAAAATTTTTGTTATGTTAATAATTTATTATATTTATATTCGATTTGGTACCGTTTACCCTAAACGGTCAATTAATCGTTATAAAAGTTAAGAGATTTTTTCTAACCGTAGCTAAACCATTAAGAAATTGTTAACCGCTAACGGTTAACCCATTATAGTTATTTGTAAAAAAAATCATTATTCATAATATAGAAAATTGTAGCGTTTAATAAATACTTACACTGGTGTAAGTAAATAAGATAAAAAAGTATAACACTTAACACATATTTATACCGGTATAAGTGAATAAAATAAAAAAAGGGGCAGCACTTAATATATAGTTACAGCGGTGTAATTATGTATATCGCCCAATATTTTAGTACTTAACAATAAACATATAATTATATTTGTTAAGTATGTTTATGTATTTATAAAGGGATAAAAATATATATTTAGTTATTGGTGTAAAAGTTTTATTAGAAATATATATAAATTAGAAATAATAGAAAATTATAATAAGTTATTTGTATAAAAATATAATAAATTAAAAATATATTTATAAATTTAATTTATTAACGATTAACCAGTTATCAAGATCCATAACCGTAATCTTAACCGTTAATAATCATTTTTAGTGGTTCAGTTAACCGAAATTGTTTATTATTAACAGTTTGGTTAAT